GGGGGGGGGGAAGCGGACTCAGGGGAGGGCTCTGGGGAGGAAACTGAGGATGATCCAATGATAGATGAAGTACATAAGATAGAGAAGAATTGTGACATTGAAAAAGTGGTAAATAAGGAAGTGAAGTCAGCTGGAATTCTGGGTTTGTTCTTCTGGAAAGGAGTTTGCGAAGGAAGCATTTAGGTCTGTGGAAGAAAGAAATGGGGAGAGCGAAAATAAAGGTGATCCAGTGGTTGACTTTAACTCAAGTAATTTAATTCTTCAAGGGATGAAAGAGCCAATTGGAGACTGTAAGAATGGAATCAAGGAAAGGGAAGCAGAATTGGAGGGGGGTGGAGGGGTCAGATAGGGGCCAAAAAATTGAAAGCTATGGAAGCTTTAAACACAGCTAGAAGATGCAGAACTCAGAAGAATAGAAAAAAGCAAGGATATAAAGAGCTCTGTTTGGCATTGGGCCCAAACTTTTCTGGTTTGGACTGCAGCACTTGATAAGTTCCTAACCGCAGATCGGCTGCTCAGAAGGGGGATGCTGCTTCCTAGTAAGTAGTATCTGATGTCCCTTCTATAATGAAGCTCCTGAATCTTCCAGTCACATTTTCATTCACTGTAACTTCTCTCAGCAGCTCTGTGAAATGGCTGTCTCCTGTTTTGGTGTTTCCTCTTGCCCACCTGTTTCTGTTGTACAACTGCTTCAGGGGTGGACCCTAGAGGGTCTGAATGTAAGAGGCAAGCTGCTTTTGAAGATTTTCCCAGCTGCTATCCTTTGATCCCTTTGGAAGGAAAGGAACAGCCGAATTTTTGACAACCTTTCCAATGACAGCTTCTGTCAAAAACAAAGTTATAGGCTTTTTATATTCCTGGTTAAGTGTACAAAGAGCATTCACTGGAGTTCAGCTTTTTTTCTTTTTTGCAAGCTGGACCATTCTTTATCTGCCTTCTCAGATCTTTTTGTAAATCCCCATTGTATAGGTCCTCATTCACTGGTTTCATTGTTTCATTTTGCAATACAATACTTTACTTTCTTCAAAAAAAGAAAAGAAAATAGTAAGGCAACACAAAAATGTAGTCAAAAGACAACAAGAAGTTTGTATACATAATTCGAACAAGAAGACAGATGAGTCGGAGTCATTTATGGGGGGGGAGGGGTTGTTTTGGGTCTTTTGTTGGATGGCAGTTGTGGGTGTTTGGGGTCTTGTAAGGGCATTAGTATTGTTTGTTTTGATGATCGGGGTTGTGTTTGATCTCTGTTCTATATTGTTTATGTGTATTTTTTGTAAGGGATTTGGTTTTTGAGGGGTTGGCCATGTTTGGGTTGGTTTGGGCTGGTTGGGTTTTGTTTTATCTTTGTTGGGTGTTCCTTGGATGTTTCTTTTCCCTTGGGTGATTGCTTATCACCTTTTCTTGCATCTTCTTTTTGTTTAAGAAATTTTTTCTTTATCTTCAAAAAGAATATTAATGTTGGTTTAAGTGCATTGAATATTCATGAATACGTACATGTCCAGGTTCGGAAGCAATCATACATTCAAGGAAATTCTGCTCCTCGTGCAAACCTAAGCGTCCTTGACAAGCTTATAGCATCTCGTCATGAACTTGCACAGGTCATTTTTCTTCACTTAAACATGCTCTTCGATATTATGAACTGCTTCTAAATGTATTCTATGGTTGATTTATTCCATTTGTTTATGCAAATTGTTTTATATGATAGAATCCCTAGAAAGATAATATGGTAGGTTTTGGAAAAGAAAGGAGTACCTAACAGGTAAATGGTTGTAATAGAAATATGAATGTTATGAATTTTTTTTTTTTTTTGAAAAGGTAAGGTAAAAATTTTATTGAAGAAGAAAGAGAATAGAGTACAACAATTTCCTGGAAGAAAAAGGACTAGCCAGGAAAACTAGAAAGGATAGGATAAAAATAAACATATTTTAGGTACTTAGGATTTTTTTTAACAGTAAAAAAAGAAAATGAAAATACACCCTATAGAGGTGATGAGGCAGCACCTCCAGAAAGAGCTAAGAACAACGGGAACCCAATGCCCAAAACAAAAGACCCCCAAACATCTTGTTGTAAGGCTTATTTAATTGTTACTTTATAGCTGCTGTTAGTAGGCTGACTTCTTAGGATACTGTCAGTTAGTTACTTGTCTTTTTTTCTTATTATTTTTTGGTTCTAGGGTGTGCCGCCAGGGGCATACTTGTAATTTCTATTCCTTTATTAAGTTAATATAAATAGAAGACTGGCGGCAGCCAGTTGTACCTTTTTTCTCTCAATCGTACCTCTCTTTTTCTTCTCTTTCTCTCTCTCTCTCTCCCACTCTCCACAAATCATTACACATCTTATATTATCAAACCTCCCCAAAAACAGAAGAAACCAGAAAACAGAGCTAGAAACATCCCCTTGGGAAAAACAAGCTGAACCCATAACCAATATATATATATATATATATATATCAAACCACAGACATCCAAACCTCTCCCTCTCACCTGCTTCCATTCCAACAATTCCCGTCACTCTTCATCAACAATATCTAATTCCTCTCTTTCACCTTCATCCCAAGCCTCACCCTCTTCCCCAACTGCATTCCTCCTGGTAATTTCCTTTCTCCGAGATATTTACTTTGGGGAATTCTTCAGTTTTATCCCTTCCTGTCTCCCTCTCCCCCTCTCTACTTTCATCTTCAATCTCGACCTGAACTCTTCCTTTTCTCTCATTCTTCCCTCTGTCATCAGTCATTACACGTCCTTTCCTCCCTCTCCCTTGTAGGTGCTTTCTCACTCTGATTACTTGAATCGATGTCCTGAGCCTTCTTGCCTGAGTCAGCTTCTAAACAATCAGCTTCACCATTGTGTATCAGATAGTTCTAAGCTCTGGATTCGATCTTTGCTCCTTTCCTCTTGTAGATTCTTTTAAATCTACAGCAAGGACCATCCCCGACCAATCCTTGTTTGAGATGATGAAAGACCTTGGTAACATGAACAATTTGTCCGTTACTGCCTTACTGGATCCTTTTGTTTTTCTCAACTCCCCTGCCTTGGGACTCTCAGAATTAGTCACCTTCAGAATGGCTTTAATTCTTCTCCTACCTAAATCCAACCCCAATTTTCCTACAAATACCGGTGACCTCAATTCTTCTTCTTCCTTCACCCTCTTGGAATTCTCATCATTCATGTCTCCCCCCACTTCCTAGACCATTTCTCTGCTGCTAAGATCACAGGAGGGAGCCTTGCTTCTTGAAGTGATGAAACACATCTCTTCTCTTGGATTTCCTCCCTTGTCAAAATTTTCTTCCATTGCAGCTATTTCCACTAAACCATCACCATCCTTTTCCTTGTCTGAAATTTTGACAGCTTCTTTCTCTGATTGTACGTTTTTATCATTGGCTAAAGCTTTTTCTTGTGAATCGCCTTCTTCAACTATCCCATGATAATGCTTGAGGAACTATCTTCTCTAAAGTTGTTTCCCCTTTTCTCTTCAGCCTGGTAATGGACATTTTTAATTATCTTTTTGATAAGGCTAATCTTCTTAGTCTAGTTAAAGGATTTGAAGTGGGAAGAGGCAAGATTCACATTTCCCATTTACAATTTGCTGATAATATCATTTTATTCTTGGATGCCTCCTTAATCAACATCACAAACACAGAGGTTAATTGAACACTTTGAATTAATCACTGGATTGAGGGTTAACTTCTACAAAAGTGGTATAGTAGCACTAAATGCAATGGAAGAGGAGCTTCTAGAAAACTTTAAATCCTTGTTAGGATGTAAAGTGGAGAAACTTCCTATTTCCTATCTAGGATGCCCCTTGGAGGGAATCCAAAAACCTTCAACTTTTGGGGGCCGGTGGTGGAGAGATGTGAGAAGAAATTAGCATCTTGGAAGAAGTGTTATCTTTCAATAGGGGAAAGCTTACTCTCTTAAACGCCTCTCTAGCAAATGTGCCAGTCTACTTTCAGTCTTCCAGATTCCGACCAAAGTCAAAAATCAGTTGAGAAGCTTCAAGGGAATTTTCTTTGGGAAGGAGGTGGGGAGAAAAGAAACCACTTAGTCAGTTGGGAACAAGTCTACAAGCCTAAAGAGGAAGGAGGTTTGGGAATTGGGCACTTGAAAGGGAAAAATTCCTCTCTCTTGGGTAAATGGCTTTGGAGGTTTCCTAAAGAATCCAATGCTTTATGAACAACTGTCATCTCAAGCAAATATCGGTCCTATACAAATGGGTGGGATAGAAATCTTCATTTGAACAAGATAAAGTCAACAAGTCCTTGGAAAGGTATAATCTCCACCCACACCTTTTTCTTTCCTTTTATAAGATATAAAGTGGGAAATGGCTCAAAAATATAATTTTGGAAAGGCATTTGGTGGGGATAATCTACCCTTGCTACCTCTTTCCCCAAATTTTTCAACCTCACCCTAGACCAAGAACCCACTGTCTCTTCTTGCCTTCCAGACCAAACTGCCAAAAACACCCTAAACCTTTGTTTAGAAGACCTCAAGGGACCCAGAGATTTCTGAAATAACTGCTTTATTTCAGACCCTTAAAGAAGCCTACATCTCCCCCTCCTCTGATACCTGTATCTGGACTCTCCACCCAAATGGTGTTTTTTCTTCTATGTCTATGTTCAAGGCCCTGATTGCAAGTGAACATCATTCATCCTTCCCAGTCAAGAAGATATGGTGCAGCCATGTCCCATCCAGAGTGTTTTTTTGTCTGGGAAGCTTGTCTTCATAGACTAAATACTTATGATATCATACAGAAAAAATACAGGGGAAGACTTTCTATCTCTCCCCATGTTTGCATTTTATGCTTGAGTGAAGGTGAATCAGCAGATCACATCCTCCTTCACTGTAAGCTCACCCAAAACATATGGCTCCATTTCTTGAGAATGACAGGTTACAACTGGGTTATATCAGAGCACATTCTGGATTTCTTACATGAGTGGCAAGGAATAGGCCTAAGCAAAGGGTAAAGTTTATTGGCAATCTGTGCTACATGCAGTGATGTGGGGAGTTTGGGACGAAAGAAATAAACGCCTATTTGATAATAAATTCAGGCCCCTTGGAGAGTTAATTTCAGATATCACATACCTTTGTAACCTCTGGACAGTCAATTCAGATCTGTTCAAAGGAGTCTCAATCAATGACCTCAATGGAGATGCTCACTCCTTTCTTTTTCTTTCTCACACTCAACAAGCAATCTTGAGGCAATCAGCTATTCTCAGTGATGGAGTGGTGACCCTAAACGTTGATGGAAGTGCTTTAGGTAGTCCTGGCTTATCTGGTATTGGAGGCATAGTAAGGGATGAAAGGGGCAACATATGCTGCACTTTCAGTGGTTCAATTGGACTAGCTGATTCCACAAAGGCTGAAGTGATGGCCACTCTCACTGGAATCAAAATAGTGAAAAAATTTGGGAATTCAGAACTTAACCATTGCAGGTGACTCAGAAAAGACTATAAAATGGTTAAGGAACAAGGAGGGGGACCTTGGTGACTGAGCCACTTTTTGGCAAGGCTAGGGACTCCTTGGACTGTTTAAATGCAAGTTTAGTTTGGATTCCTAGGGAACAAAATCATATATCAGATGGTTTAGCCAAATGTGGTGAGTATTTGGATCATTTGTATAGTGACAAGCTTCCTCTGTAATCTTTTGGGGATCCTCCCCTACTTTGTATATCTTCTCTTGTACTTCTTCTTTCTTTAATGAAATTTCGTTAACTTAACCTCAAAATTTTGTTTAAAATCCTTCGCCTTCAGACGCAGAGCATTATCCTTCCTCACCACTCTACCTCCCTTGAACGACCATCCCCGAGCAAACCTCCTTTCTAAGCTCCCACGGTTCAGACAAGAATTCCGAGCAAACTTCAAGGAAGAAGATAGACTAAACATATCATCCATAACAGTTGAAACTTTAGAGATCACGTGCTCAGTATTCGGATTGATTGCAATAGTAGAAATTGGTCACATGCAAAGACCATTTATAGCACCTCTGAGAAGAAGTCATCTATTGAAAGTTGATGGATCTAGAAGAGTTACGGGCAGGGATAAAAAATTTGCAGCATATTGGTGATCCACCGATACGTGAAATATGACAAGTTTTGGGGTAAGACCTGTTTCAGGGGGTAGCCAGGCCTTATATTGACTCCCCAGAACTTGTTTGAAAAAAAAACTAATAAAAAATATACAAGTGCATTATTTTAAAGTCCAATACTTTGAACCTTGGGTAGGGATAGGCAAAAAAGGACATTAGTTGCAGTAATGTTAAATGGTTTGAGGACCCATAATTTAACAATGGATATAGCACTGAACAGAGTTGAACGACAGGGTAGGATTTATGTAGCCAACCCCATATGGTTGGGAGAAGGCTTAGTTGAGTTGAGTTTAACATGATTAATGTTTCATGGATCTCAGATTTAAATTTCATAAGTGGTTGGATTTCTAAATTTTGGCAATGTAAAAATCAATGACTTATTAAACAGAACAGAATGGTAAAACAGGAGTCATGTAGCTGACCCCATATAGTTGGGGCAAGGCTTGGGTGATGATGGTGGTTAATTTCTAAATTTTGGGAATGTAGAAGTGAATGTCTCATCAAAAAGGCTCTTC